TACATATTTTTTTATCCAATTGGCCTTTTGTCGGCAATCAAGTAATTAAAATAATTATAAGGGTGGTCCATTAATGAGAATACATACACTTATGATGGTTCCATTGCTTAGAAATAAGAGATATTATTAACTAATCCATGAGGTAGACAAATTTTGAATATACAATTGCGACCAATTGAGCGGTGGTGATTTCAGCGTGGAATGATCGAGTCCATTAATGTTTCTTCGTAATTCCAAGGCTTTTAACTGTCAATTATAATTACTTATAATTAGATATTCTTGACCTGCAATATGTGTGCTAGGGGTGCAAATGATTCAACCGACTCGTGAGTCTATTTGAGCTCAACTTATTAACGAGCTCATGAGTCGAGCTTATCAAGTTTTAAGTTTGAGCTTGTGCAAATTTTCGAGCCGTTGGATTATCGAGCTTGGTTGATGCTCGTCACGATTGCTCCTCGAGTGGCTCGTCTGTGCATGCAAAGGCAGAAGCGTGGGCAAAGGCAAACCACGGAAGTGCAGGCGAAGACGAACCACATCACACTCATGAACTGCTCGCGAGCTCGTTTTCAATGGCAGAAGTCGAGCTCGAGCTCAAGCTTTCCTTTTGAGCTTGATTCGAACTCGGGATTTGGCTCGCGAGTCGAGCTCGAGCTAGGCCTGATTCGAGCTCAACTCAACTCATTTGCACCCCTAATGTGCACGCATGAGTTTATGAAAATTAAATTAATGGATTCTTATCGTGTTTAATTCTAGACTACAAGCATTCACATGGCCGTCGAATCATTTCTTAGAGTTTTATTAAAAAAAAAAATAGATTAGAATATTTTGATACAAATTAATAAGAATGGTGATAAAAACTGTTAGATTTATGTGATATTAATTATCAATGTTGATATATCGTCCCGAAATTATCTTGATCGAGTATGAATCTCAAGTTCCTTGAACAAACTGTCCAAAGAGAATTCTCCTTTCGAATGACCCGAATATGACATGCAAGATAACTTCGAGATGGTACATGCATAAAGAGTCATGGGTGTACATATATGATGCTATTTAAAAAGTATACAAATAATTTGAAAGTTGGTCACATAAAATGTATTCATTATTTTTCATAACCAATGATATAATTTATCCAACATTATTTAGAATATTTTATGAAGAATTAAAATATATTTTAATTGATCAATGCAGCTATTTGTTCATTTTTTTTAGCAATGTCTAATGTTCAACTTAAAAATTTTAATCTGTGTATCTATATCACTAAACCATTAATTATTTTCATCGTCCTTATATCCCCAGCAACGCAAATAACTTTTATGAAATAAAGAACACAATTGAAGATACTTCGGTTGGATCTCGTCCTTCAAATGCTCGAGTTTTAGTTGAATTAGATATTACTAAAACTTACCCTAAGCAAGTGTGGCTGGGCTCGGATTCGTTAGGGTATGTTCAAGAGGTGGTTCTAGATGAGTTTCCTCAATTTTGTGGTGTTTGTAAAAGTTTAGGTCATCTTTCTGGTAAGTGTAAATCGGTGGTTTTTACCGGTTTTCCTACTGCTGATGTTCATGCAGAAAACTCTGCTCCTTTAGGTGGTGTGAATGGTGATAAGAGGATTAAGGAAAATGTGGTTAATATTAATAAAGAAGATGCTGGTGTGAATGGCGATAAGAGTGTTAAGGAAACTGTGGTTAATGTTACTGAAGAAGATTCTGAGGCTGTGGAGGTGATTTTGCCTTCGATTGAACATGTGGGGTGTTCTCCCGTTGTTGATATTTCTACTGGTATTTTGGTTGATCCAGTGGGTGTGCAAAATTGTAACGGGGTTACTATTGCTGCGGATGCTTTTGTATTATCACCTAATGCAATACCTTTTGTTCCTGAGGTGCTGGATAATTGATCTATGCAGCTATTTGTTCATTTTTTTAGCAATGTCTAATGTTCAACTTAAAATTTTATTCTGTGTATCTATATCACTAAACCATTAATTATTTTCATCGTCCTTATATCTCCAGCAACGCAAATAACTTTTATGAAATAAAGAACACAATTGAAGATAGAAATTAAGAAGCCGGAAAACAGCGTAATAGAAGAAGATTGCGATGTTTTATTCTCAATAAATTATTAGGTTCGAACATCGGACATATAGAATTATCCGGATTTTTCTCTGTCTACAATAAAAACGCAGTCAAAGATAGTTATTGTAGCAGTTGTGTTTCGACTGCACTTTAATGCGCTTTTATTATAGACATAGAAAAATCTGAATGATTTTCTCTGCGTGATATCTGCACTTAATAATTTGCCTTTATGCTCACAGAACAAAATGAAGAGTTACATTTTTGTGCATCGATCTAGCTAGTACCAGAGTTGTACAGTACTCACATGTTTTACTTGATGAGATGAGATTATAATAACAATGTCGACATTTGCAATGTGGTCATATATAATTCCTGCGAATTTTTAATGCTGCATCAATTTAATTATATATATATGACAAAATTAAATTTAAGAGAATTATTATTAATTATTCAGCCATATATATAATAAAACGACATGCATAAAAACAGCCAATAAATTAATTATATTTGAGATTAGCTGAATAATTAATAGACAACTTCCCAAACGACCGCGAGCGATCGAGCGACAATATGCCTTGCTAGAAATGCATATATATACTGCATGTTGTTGTGGTGGTCTTGCTTAATTAGTTAATAATTAGTAGCTAGCTAGGTAATTAGTACGGTAGCTGATATCTTTCGTTTTCTAAGTTTAGGGTTATAATATGTAATTAATTAATTACAAGTTGCAGCCTTCCATCTTACCAGCCGGGCGATCTTCGGGCTTTCTTTTTGTGCCCTAATTAATACAGATTTATCTGTTACACGGTCACATGCATTTACGTATGTATGAATGGATTATGGAAGCCCATGCAATATTAAAATTAATTAATTAATCATGTACATCAACTTTAGGCCGGGTTTCTTCCGTCCTTGATCTGATTAATTGGGTCCTATTTCTTGCTGTTCCAAGGTATGTTATCTTCAATTAATATTTACTTTCTAACTTGCTTAATTATTGATAAAAAAAAAAATCTTCAATTAATATTTGTTTAATTAGGTAACGTGTATTTGCCGCTTACAGGTCGCATGGAGATGATGGGTGATCTCGCATGGAGCTAGCTGCAACTGCAATGTCAGTATATGAATTGAATCTCACCGACCAATGGATCAGACAACTTTCATGCTTTTTCAAAATAAATGAAATGTATATATCAACCTCAATTAATTTTGTGCATGAAACAAAGCAGGGCAAGTGCACTTTATCAATCACTTTGTATAAATTAATGTCATCAATCAATCATAATTCCCCTTCATTCATGCTCAAATACATATTGATTAATTACATTTAGATTGTCTCTTTCAGTTGAGCATCAAGTTGATCCATTATTGCCCTTGCATGCATGCATTTGATTCTGATGGAAAGTTCTATGCTGAGTATATAAAATAATCCAACTTGCTCCATCCATCGACATGCATCAGATTAGCATTATCTACCGCCTTACAGATGTTGCAATCGCCTCATAAATTTGCAATAAATGTTTGATACATAATCACAAATCAACTTCATCACACACAACTCTCTAAATTTCATCGGCATGCTTGTAGTCAAATTGAGCATCTCGATAAGGCGAATCTAACGAGCTCAAGGTCACTTAATTCTGATAACATTAACGCAATTAAATGCTGAATAGTTGCTTTATAACTAAGGGAATCAATACAAGTTGTTTGATTGAGTGTTTCAAATGTTCTTCATATTATTTAAGTGTCTCAAACAACAGCAATCAAGCGACAATGATGGCTGGCATTGATTATCAACATCAAACTTCATATATAAAACATTGGATTCTTAAAATCTGAAAGCTTCTTAAATCATGTTTGAACCATGTTTGAATAATGCATGAATAGTGTTCAAATAATACTCAAAATTTTCTCAAATATGATTCCAACCTTGTTTGAACCAATATTGGTTGTGACTCGCTATAGATAATTACCCCACAAAATTATGTTAGTACATGACTTAATAATGTTGGTACATGACTTAAATAGGAATCAAATAATATTTGAAATTTTTTCTAATATGGCTCTGACTTTGTTTGAGCTAAAGCTAGTCGTGGAAAACTTTTAACTAAATACTTGTTAGTGAAAAGTGGAAGTATAACAAGCTTTCTAGCATGTTTGGTTAATAAAATAAATGAAAGATGTATTTCTCCAATTTTAAATATTAGGATGCATATAAGTAAATATTCCAATAAAGTTGTTATTGTATTCCTATGAGATATTCTTTTCATTACTTGAAGAGCATTCGAAAAGATTTTTAAAATAGCGGATGCTAATTTTTATATAACGGATCAGAAGTATCGTATCAAAGTAAAACTAAAATGATAGAAGAAACTATCAAGAAATCACACCTGCCTAGAAATATTCAATCTTTGTCACTTTATTGTTCAAGTCAGCTAGCCGAAAATGGAAAGTGCATTTGCTTGATAGACCAATGTAAAGCCCTATATGACAAAATCTACTCTTAAAAAAAATATATAAATGGAAAAGAAATTTTAACGCAATTGATATTTCAGATTAATTAATTAGTTGACAAAATTGATATATCTTTATACTTAGTTAAAGATAAATCCTAATTTTCAACCAGCACTCATTCGTCATTAGCCATTTGATAATTTGCAACCGGTGGTGGACTTGCTCGGTCCGGCTGCTGTATTCCCGCTGCATGTCGTCTTGAATGCACGCGTCTTTGCGAGTAGACAGAGAAAGAGAGGGAGAGAGAGACGAAGCTGACTTTTGGGTCCTCCTCACTCTTCCGAGTAAATGCACCTTTGCTGTCCTTTTTGACTTATCCTTTCTCTGTCTGTCTCTAAGTCATGGCTTTTTTTTTTTTTTTCCGGTGGTGGTCAGCGCGTCTCCTGGTCTATAAATAGGAGCAGAAGCCAAAAAGCAGAGGTGTCTTATAACTATTGTTTTTACCCTTTACACTCATGAGCTGTAAGGGTATCTATGCACATCAGAATTAGAGAAGACACGCACAAGGAATTCCCTTTCTTGCTTTCTAGCAAGGAAAAATTATTCTCTTCAAAGCCTCCTTTTCCCCCCTCCCCTTTTAACACCTCCCTTGTTAATTAGAAGGCGCGAGAAGAACCTTCAGCAAGATATTAATTGATCCCAGATCAATGGGGAGGCCACCGTGCTGTGACAAATTTGGAGTGAAGAAAGGGCCATGGACTCCTGAAGAAGACATCATACTCGTCTCCTACATCCAAGAGCATGGCCCTGGCAACTGGAAAGCTATTCCCACTAATTCTGGTCAGTACGCACTGTAAACTATTATCTCTCTTAATTAGCAGCATTTAATTCATTCATCCGTTGGTTACTAGCCTGCAATCAATTTTCCTTGATGATGACTTATTTCGTTGTTCCTTGCAATTTTCTTAGTTGAAATATCTTCAATTCTCCAACTAATGAGATAATATTGTATATACAGGATTGTCAAGATGCAGCAAGAGCTGCAGGCTCAGATGGACCAACTACCTCAGGCCAGGGATTAAGCGTGGCAGCTTCACTGATCAGGAGGAGAATCTCATAATCCATCTCCAAGCTCTCTTGGGGAATAGGTGATCATTTAATCCATTATACACTTTTTACCCTTTTAATTGAAACCAAATCCTTATAATTAACTTTCATTAGTAATTATGATGATGAAATAGGTGGGCGGCCATAGCTTCGTATCTCCCAGAGAGAACAGACAATGACATAAAAAACTATTGGAACACTCATATGAAGAAGAAGCTGAGGAGGATGGAAAATGAAGCTGTTGAGGAGGGTACTGGCTTCTCAAATTACCAACCAATTGCCAAAGGGCAGTGGGAGAGGAGGCTTCAGACAGACATAAACATGGCCAAACAAGCTCTTCAGGAGGCTCTGTCCATGGAAAAGCCCAGATTCCTTTATGAATCAAAGCCCTCATGCAGCAGCCACAGCTCCAGCACTCCTCCTTCCTCCACAACATATGCGTCGAGCACCGAGAACATATCCAGGTTGCTCGAGAACTGGACGAGGAAAACGCCCAAGAACTCATCAAAATCGACTCAGCATTCTGTCAACAATTTGGTAAATGTCGGCACTGATTCCACCACATCTAGCGACGGCACAATAACAAGCGTCCCTAATAACAACATGGTTTCTCCCGAGACTGGTCTCTTCCAGGTTGACAGCAAGCCCAGCTTGGAGGAAAGATTTCCTTTATCTCTGATTGAGACATGGCTCTTTGATGAGAATTATGGGGGAGCAAATACTGTTCTTGATTTGTCTCTTGATGATGCTTCTCATGAGCTCTTTTAGTTAAACGCACCTGCAACTTTAATTAGTTATCAGTATTAATTTGTTGATCAGTTTATAGAAATATATAGATCTATATAGGTAGGTCATGTATAATTTGATGAAACAGAGATGATCGATGACCTTAGCTCACTCATGGGAGTGGTGGATTAGGATGTTTACAATTTCAGAATGATTGGGATGGAACATTCCATTAAAAATATTATGATTTAAGAAAAAAAAATGGAATCCATCACAGCCATCCAGAGTGCATCGCAGGATGAAGATTGATAGTTGCACGTATATATGCTAAGAAAAGAGACAATGGACCTCATAGGCTTTGCTGTTGAGCTTTATTACTTACTGACAGTATAGAGCTGTTTTAGGTATTGCTGATTGATTCTAATGTATATGTCCATCTTTGATGGATTGTTTCTATTTTTTTGACTGGTAGCTATCATTTACCCATTTATATTGGATTGTGTAGCTCTGTAATCTTGAAAAAAACCTAAGAAGGAAGCAATGATGGAAATATAGGATATAGGTAGATATACCACATGAAAATCCTGAGATTCATTTTCCCCCTAAAAAAAAAAAAAAAATCCTGAGATTCCATTCTTTATTTATGTAATAATTGCTTGCTCAATCCTTTAAAATTGCATTTACGAAATTGTAAAAACTTCATTTTCCAAGGCTTTTTTTGGCTCGATTGTAGTGGAGTAACCAGAGCTTAAAAACTGTTGTGACGAAAGTGGATGATGAGTCATTTATATGTGTGTTCTTTGAAACTCAAATATAGACAAAGCTGCCAGTTGTTGATGTTTTAAATAAAATTTAAAATGCTTATGTATTTCAAAAGTTCATCATTATATTATTCAATTATACAAAACAAATTCTCATCAACTAAACATTCCTAAATAAAATTTAACAATATAAATTATGGCATAAGTAAAATATAAATTTTCACTTGAGTTTGAAGCATAATAATAAGATATGGGCTGAGCATGAGAAGAAATAAAAGAAAAAAATAATGGCTTGATATAGTTTATTAACCAAAAAAAACAAGGATGTCTGAAAAAAATAGCACTTATGAAAATAAATTATTATTTGTAGGATCTGCTTTTTGAGAGAAAGGAGTTATTCCTTGAGCAGCTTCTTTCACGAAGGGGAGAGAGAGGGAAGGGAAGAGATGGATTTCAATTATTTTACTTTTTGGCTTTAATTCATTATTACAAGCTTATGCATCTGCCGCCTCAACTATGTTGGCATCGTCCTAAGGCCTAACTCCCTTTTGCTTTAGCAAATCCGAGCAATTTCTTTTGAAGTGCCTGACCTTATGGTAGTAGAAGCACCTCTTGCTAGACTCATGACTTCTCCTTGCTACCAGAATGCTACCAACACTTTCATCTTTGTCCTCATTTCTATGCTACAATTGTTTGAATACCAAGACACGCTTCACCTCAGTCATGGTCAATATTTGCTTACCATATTGTAATGTGTCCACTATATTTTCTTATGACTTCGGTAAATTACTTCGGAAGCTAATTCCTTGAACTTCTTCCTTAATCCTTATATCTACATTCTTAAGATCAAGAATGAGTTTGTTAAATTCAACAATGTGTTTCTTTAAGTCTTTACCTTCTTCTATATGGAACGTGTATATAACTTAATTTCTTTAGGTATAATCGGTTGGCCAACAATCTTTTCAAGTATAGTGACTCCAGTTTCTCCCAAACTTTTATGGCAGAACCTTCTTCATCTACATCCCTCAAAACTTCATCGTTGAGCAAGATTGCCCTTGTCCTATCAGTTACAGCAGAAAGATCTTCCCTGAAAATTGCTTCGAAAGTTCCTTGATGAATTAGGAGAGCCTTCATTTGATTCTCCATAGTTCGAAGTCGTTATCTTTGGTAAACATGACGATTTCTAATTTTTGCATCGACATGTTCAAGAATTGCATATATCCTAGAATTTCGTCTGTTGCTCTCCATGCTACTACCAAGAGCAGTTTGATTCCCCCTGATCAAAGATTTACATCGATCTTTAACGTGGGAACAAAATCCTGAATTTACCTTCTATTATGATCTACATCTTACATAACTTCTCAAGTTTAGAACACCCTCACGACTCCCCCTGTCATGCCTCCTCCGATGCAGCCAACCCAGCGCTGCCACTTCTTAAACCCCGGAACCAGCCCTCTCAAGCACCCCATGGCACCCCTGTAGACATGCGTGACTTGTCCCGCACTTTGCCCATCTACTCTGTCAGCTCTGACCCCGACCGCAACCCACGATCTGCTCGTGTATGCCTCTACCTGCACAAACCTTCACATGTTCGTACCTCCACCCTCGTGCACCGTGACCCCGCACACCCCCAAAGAGCCCGTGCGCTCCTCCTCTCACGCGTGCCTCTGCCCGCGCCCTGCCCGTGCCCGCGCACGCCTCTGTACAACCACACACCTTACACACACTCCACCCGTAAACGACCTATGTATTGCTCACACGCGACTGCATGCCTATGTAAACTCAGTTGCGATCGTCAACTTCAACCTAACAGCGGCACCGAGCCTCCCTTCTATTTCTTCTGAGTTATTTTCTTTGGACATAAAAATCTCCTCAACCTCCACCTTGCTTTGATACATCTTGTAGGGTCTGCTTTTTTAGTGGAAGGAGTTCTTCCTCGAACTTCTTTCACGAAGGGGAGAGAGAGGGAAGCGAAGATATCATAAAAATCTGAATTGGATTTCAATTATTTTGCTTTTTGGCTTGACTTCATTATTGCAATCTTATTTGGTCTATTTATAGACACTAAATGGTAGCTAAAAGGGCTACAGAAGATCCTAAATAAATTTAAATGCTATAAAGAAAACTAACGAAAAAGAAGGTACAAAAGTAAATCTTTGACCAATTATAACAGTGTCGATATATAATATCTATCAAAATGCATTCAGTTCAACCTCATCTATAATTTTAATCATCTCTTTATGTAAAAGTTTTTAATGTCAAGTTCAAAGGTCAAAAAAGCAAAAGAAATATTAAGATTGGATATTCAAGCATATAACATGGAAAAGCACTTGAAGCATTTTTGGAAGCTTTATGATATTAATTAATGGACCAAATTGTCTCTAAATCTTAAGTGCTTAAAGTCAAATCAAGTGAATTGACGAGGTAAATCCAACAAGCCTAAGATTATTCAAGGAACTCAAATATTGCATAATGATTTATGATCAATATGATTACTATAGACCCATGGAGTGTTTTTGGTTAAGGCTAAAAACACTACATAACCCCTCTAAAGAAGGCCAAAAATAAGAAATCAATTTTCACATGAAGAAAGTTCAAGAACTCAAAAAGTTAGAGAAATCTATTACATTTTCTTAAAATCATCAATGTCAGTCACAATATCGTGCAATCATCACATTTTGATCATTTAATTATTGTCATTTAATTACTATCATCCAACTCTATTAGTGGATTTCAATTGCTCTCCTCTAGAATCTAGACTTATGTAATCCCTATATTAAAAATAAAATAATTATTCTCAATTGTGTGGCCTTGTCTTCTTCGATTATGGAGAAGAATGAATATTTGTATTTATAATTATATAATGAAGAATTGTAATTGGGTACGATCGAGTCTTGTGATTTTTCTCATTTTTTAATTTTTCACATAAAAATTTAGTATCTTTTACAACTTCAATCTATGCATGTGTGATCATTGTGCAAAGCTACACAACTCAACTTGATCTTTTGGTTGAGAGCTTTTCTACCAACCAAGAGGACTTATGTTCAAAACTTGGTATGTCATGTGTGTGTGAGTATGTCTTAATTGGCTCAAAAGTTCCCAAAAAAGTTGTATAAAGCTAAGACATGAAACACTCCATTGCCACGTATGGTGATAGAGATAGAGTATTATATCTTGATTTGCACAATGATTCTACACATGTAGAATATCTTTTAGATGAAAATTTTGAAAGGAAAAAAAAAAGAAAAAAAAACATGGGGCCAAACTTAGATGATATGATCTAGTATATATATAAATAGAGATTAAAAAAAAAAGTTGCTCTTTCTCTTAATTGGGGAAGACATGATTGCAAAGTTTATAACACTAAACTAGATCAATCTCCTATCAGTCCAACTAATGGAATTGAAGGAGTATTGCAAAGTGATCGACGATGAAGATCAAATGATGTCAGTTTTTCACTTGCAACAAAGGAATGGTCGTTGAACTATGACAGCTAGACTGTTGGTAGTCAAATGATAGTGAATGAACGATGATGGTTGTTGTAGTGATGACAGTCAGGTGATGATAATTAGATAAATGAGGCCGAAAGATAACAAATTAACGAGCGATGTGATCAAATGGTGGTAATTGGATGATGATAGTTGTTGTGATGATTATCGTCACCAAATGTTGGTAGAGCTCTAACTCTCTCTAATTTTAAACTCATGTTATCTTTCATATATCAAGAATATGAGTCTCTATAAGTTTAGGAGTTCATTTTGGTAACTTCAAGAAAAAGATGCAAAACACTCTATTGGATGGACTATGTTGATTCATTTGATCATAAACTATTATTTCATTATTTAATTATCTTGCTAGTCTTGAAATTGAGTGATCTTAAACTTTTTATATTTTTCTCGCTCTTTTTAACTATAATCACTCAAGAATTTACAAATAAGTTTCACAAAAGGATGATATATATATATATATATAGTACCTTGAAACCCACAAAGGGGCCTACGCGTTAATATAAATAAAAAATTACAAGTCCTTAAGGGATAAATCAGCCCACTAATGCTTGAAGAGCTACAATCATTCATATATTAATTTGATATATGTTATTGAACAGTTATCTTTAATATTTGATTCAATGAGATTTAATCTTCGAAGTTGCTGTTCCGAAGTTTGAAAAAAAAGAGTGAAATATTCAGCTAGCCAGGTGAAGTGATGTGTCATTTAAATGATGAAGTGACGTGTCATTTAAATAATGATTAGCGTTAAAAACATTAGTGATTGGTTGACTAGCTAATTTATAGCTAACAAATCATTCAATCATTAACTTTCTGTCATTTCTCACCTTAACTGGCATTACTTTATTGGAACAATATTACTGGTGTGCTATAGTCGCAACAACTTACATGACCAAAATGTGAACACTTCAAATAGGTCATCGATTTTTTTTTTCTTTTTTTAAAGCAAGGCTTTTAATAATCAAAACAGAAATATAAGTAAGAGTAACATTAAAATATAAATGATCAAGAAACAAAAGTATATATACATTATCTAGAAGATCACAAATCTAAAATAAAAATATTCTTATAATCTCTACGAAAACCAGCTGGCCAACACTCATCTCATACAAAAGAGAAAATTTATCTAGAAGATCACATAGAGGTCTTTCTTAATTTAGAGATACAAATGAGTAATTAATTAAGGTTCCAGAATTGAATTTAACAGTAAAACATTGGGTAAGTTTATGTGACCTCGCCGTTGAACGTTTTGACTCCTGTTAGTTATTATGAGAGGTGGAAATTATATTACGCTAAAAGACTTACCGCGCCTGGTCGAATAACGTAACAAAATATTAGCCCTGTATCGATCGAGTAAACGGGGAAAGAAGTAGACAAGCAAAAGTTCAAGTAATCAGTCACGGTATAATGTGCAGATGGGAATTTAATGCATCACATGTGAAGGCCGGTTATTTGAC